CCGCTGCGCAGTCACTCACGCGAATTTTTCGCCGCCGTTACCGCCTGCGCCCAAATTTCCTGCGAAATATAAACTTAATCCTCGCGCCCGCGGCTGCTCCAGAACCCGCATCGTGGCACTCAAACTCAAACTGCCCGCGGAGGCGGACTGCTGCAACTCCGCCGGCGACTCGCTGGAGTTTCCCCCGCGCGACGAACGCTATTCGCGCTGCGCAACCTACTTCCCGCGGGTCGACGACGTCGTAATCGGAGTCGTCGTCGCCCGCCAAAATGACGGCTACCTGCTCGACATCAACGCGCATCGCAAGGCCTTCTTGCGCGGCACCGCGTTCGTTGGCGCTACATTGAACCATCACCCCACCATCTCGATTGGCTCCGTACTTCTCTGCGGCGTGACATCCAACGTCGGGTTCGATTTGGTGAACCTCAGCTGCAAAGCCGGCGGCGACAAAAAGCCTTGGGATACCAGGGAGTCCTATTTGGGTCTTTTGCAAAACGGCATTATTGAGTACGTAGGAATAGCGAACTGCGTTGCGCTCCTTTCCCCTTCGTGCATTCTGTTGCACTTGATTGCTGCAAAGTTCGACTTTGAAATCTGTATAGGGCTAAACGGCTTCATTTACGTCACGTCCGACGCGCTGACTCTGTCCAACTTCATCGCTTTGCTAATCAAACAGTGCTTAAGCTGCACGAGTTATAAAAACGTTCGCGCTTTGATTGATGCGCGCGTTAAGGAATTCTCGGTTACTGCCGGAAACTGATTCACGCAAACGCTGCTCGCCGCCAACTCATGGTTGCTTGGTGTATCCGTGAATTTGACTATGAGCAATTAGATAAACGTATTGAGAGTAACTTTTATTGCATTCATAGATCTCCCGATAGTTTTGCGTTGAGATAATGATTGCAAAACTAAGCGACAATTATTCAGAATGTTCTTCACAGCGAATTCTAACTGTTGAGTATTCTGTTAAGTTTCTCGATCGCAAGTAGAAAGAACTGTTTGTCGGTGCGTTTAGTATAGCGAAAGAGCAGAATGGGTTGCATCACATTATTGCCGACTGGCAGATGAAGCTCGCAGTATTCGTTTTTGTGAGCAATATTCTATTTCACTGACCTTTGAAACCCCGCTTTCAAACATTCCGTGCGCTTGAAAAGACCGCGGTTCTCAATCACTGTCGCCCATATTCAGTTAAAATTTACAGATTTCATCAGAACTCTGAATGCAAGCAACTGAAAGCCAGGTTAGTACTCGACGGGGAATTTCACTGTGTTGACACTCTTTGAAGGCACTTCCCTTTTGAGAAGTAGAACCATTCACGGTCTCATTTGATTTCTACTCTTGCTCGATCGCAGCTTGACGAACGGGTCGATTCGTATGACCTGTCAACCATACTCATTTGCAGAGTCACTCACTATTGACTTCTGAGTGCCGGCATCTGTTGGCGCGGTTAGTACTGGGCTGGGTCCGCTCTACCAGCCCAGGTATCCAGATGGTTTGATATTTTTAGAACGCAATTCCCTTTTGAGAAGTAGAACGATTCACGGGCTCGTTCTACTTCTAGTCGAGCGACATCGCATCCCGCTGAGCGGGTCGACTGATATATCACTGTCGACCATACTCAGTTGAAAGTCACAGATCCCATCAGAACTCTGAATGCAAGCAACTGAAGGCCAGGTTAGTACTGGGCTGGGGGACCGCCTGGGAATTCCAAGGTGTTGACAGTTTTTGGACGCAATTGACTGAAAGCTAAACGAAATGAAGCTGTGTTGACAGAAGATGGTGATGCGATAACGTTGGCGCTATCACCGGCAACCTTTTTTCGACTCGCGGGCTTGACACATAACAAGTTTGATGCACAGATCCGTCACTGGACAGTTCGCATTAGACCGAGCGCTTTATCGCATGCCATCGCAACGGCAGCCACTAGTTCTTTGTTTGTGATACTCAAACAGAGCGGCGACTGCAAATTGAAATCTTCCAATACTTCAATGAGCTCTGCTGCAAATTCTACTATTCTATCGTCCTCGCCCGCTGATCTAGTTGCTAAGCATTTTGACAAAAGAAACTCGTTCGCATCGCCCTCCATTATCGACTCAAACGCATCCGCGCTCAGCAAGTCGGCCTTGCTAAAGATGGAGACAAAAGGGTACTCTAAACTTAACTGACAAGTCAAAACCGTCAGAAATTGCGTTACGTATTCACTTATATGTTTCTCGAGTGTGTAGTCTGTAAGAAAGACGATGACAAAGCGAATTTCACCCATGCTTTTGCTGAGTCGCTCTACAATCGCGGCGAAGCTTCCGCTGGACATGTAAACGTCCAACTGCCCTGGACAATCGATTAAGTAGTAGCAGTTCTGCAGATTTCGCTTCCGTTTGAGCGCGCAAATGCGATCCACTAGCCAGTCAACATTGCGCGACAGCTCTTCAATGCAAAAACAAGCAGCCGCGTTTGGACCCAGCAACTGCTCAGCCATCACGGATTCTGTTTTCAAAAAGTCTCGGACGTCTATGTCAGGCTCCAAAATTGAATAGTTCGAATCTTCCTTCATGAGATTCGCGCGGTACTGCAGCTTTTCTTGAAAATCGTTGGCAAAGTCGAGATTGATTACGATGCAGTTGTTGTGAGGAATGTTGTAAACGTCGCGAAACACGTCGCAATACGAAGTTTTGCCAGAACCAGACAGTCCGACCACGAGCTGGCCAAACTCTACCATCTGCGATGAGTGGAGCGTTACGTGAAGTTGCTTTGCGCCGAAACGAAACGCAGATTCAAGCCCTTCATCTGTAGGCGAGATACGCAAGGAGTATGAGCGCCGCCGCTATTATTTGGGAAATATTAGTTATTTTATGCTCGTAGTAAGCTACAGCGATTGCCGTTACAACGTACTTCAGAACGAGCAAATTTTGGTACACGAACAGCGAGTTCTTCGACACGAGCAGCGTGGTCAGTTTGATCAGCAAAAGCTGCAGCGCGGTCAAGGCTAAGGTGCAAGCTGCGTAGCTCGCAGTTAGCTGCGCAACGATGCGAGGGGACTCACGCGCGGCGCCGAGAACGAGACACACTACGCTGAAGAAAGTGCCGCTAAACGTGGTGTACAGAGTGGTAACACTGGCAGCGTTGCTGACTTTCACGACTTGCTTGAACTGAAGCATGAAGCGGTTGTGGCAGAAGGACGCGGCGAACGCCAAGGGCGCGATGAGCGCGTTTCGCGTGTGAGACTTGTTGGCGGACAGGAGAAGACACGCGCCAACGAGAGCGGTAAGTTTGCAAACGGTGTTTCGGACGCGGCGCTCTTTGCAGTCGGAGCTGTCATGCAGCGTCAGAAAGAGCGAGAACACCAGCTTGAGCGAGGTGTGTTGCACGAGCAGCTGCTTCTGTAGGGAAACGAGCGAAAATAATATCATTGCGGAGTGCCAGACACAGAGCAGCAGCGCGTCGCGCCGGCCGGGAAACACGAGCCAGGCGCGGCGGTTGAGGCAAAACGAAAAGACTGCCAGCAGCGTTTGCGTGATTGCGATCTGCAGAGGCGGCTCGCTGAGTTTCGTCGAAAACAGCTTTTGTAGGACGGGAAACACGGCGTTTAGTGCCAGAAACGGCAGTGCAAGCGCAAACTCACTGCGCCGGTTGCTGATCATTGTGAAAACGGATCTCAAGAGGCAGTTTTTCGATCGCGCTTTTGAGGCCTTTCACCTTGCTCCAGTTGCCGAGCCGATGCGTGTTTGCGCGGATCGCGTAGACGCACTGCGCGTCGGAGTCTAAACAGAGCGCGTTGACGTACCCTTCGATCGGAACTTTGCCCAGCACTTGGAGCGCGGCAGAGTCTTCGCAAATAACTTTAATTAAGAATAAAAATCCGGTGTTCGTGCCGACCAAAGCGAGGTCTGACTGCGGCAGCAATCGCAGCGAGCAAATGCCCGACGCGCCGCAGTCAATCAGCTGCAGATCGGCAACAGAAGATTTGTGCGTCACGGAGAACAAGTGAAGTTTCTGCAACGAGGAGCCTGCCAAGAGGTGCTTGCCGCCGGAGCTGGCTACGCAGTCGACGTGGCCCGCGCAGTTCAAAATGGCGTGCTTCCTGCGCTGCCAGTTCCAGAAGCGCACGGAGTTGTCTGCGCCGCCGGAGACTAGTTGCCCACCGGCCGTCTTGCCGAGGCTCAGCACCGGCCCGACGTGTCCGTACTCGACTTCGCTCGCTGACGCCGTCGCGATGTCCCAGCAGACGATGCTGCAGTCATCGCTGCCAGAGAACAGGGTATCTTCAATGGCGCAGAGCGCGTTGACGCGCGCCGCGTGTTTGCAGAGTCTGGCGAAGGCGCCTTTCGAGAATTCGTTCGTTTTGAACAGCAAGATCTGCTTGCTGTTTCCAGCGACTGCAAGCACGGCGCAGTTGGAGAGCAATTCGAGCGCGTACACCGGGCGGAACTCGAGCTTCTGCCGCTCGCGGCACTCGAGCGAGTTCGCGTCGTACGCGTAAAGCACGCCCGCTTTTCCGGCGCAGTATAGCACGCCGCCGGCGCTGTCTAGCGCGGCGCAGAACAGCTGGTCTGCAGCCACCTCGCGCCGCAACGCGCGTTCGCCGTGCGCGACCCGCACGGTGTCCACCCGGCGCAGCTCGGCGGACTGCTTGAGGTTGACGTCTATCAGCGCAGACATTGTCTGCAAGTCGCTGGACTGCGGGTCGATGGCAAGGCGCTGCAGCAGGCTTTGCGCGAGCAGCGCCTTACGTTCCTCGGCCGAGACGAGCTTGGGCGCGTCTGCGCTCGGCGAGAACACGCCCAAATCGCTCTCGCTGCCCGACTCCTCGTCAGAGCTCGGCGCTTCTTTTCGCAGCTTTTTGGCTCGCGAACGCATTTGTTAGAAAAAATTCAATTTCCGCAGCGAGCAGCGGAATTTTCGAGAAACTGGGCGGCATGGCTGGCGCTTCGGGCGGCGAGTGCGCGCCGAGCGAGCGCAGCAAGCGAAAAAAAGCGGACTCTGCGCGGAGCGGCGCGTTCTCGCTGGCCGAAGAGACAAACTTCTTGAACGGAGAGCCGCTGTCCGCGAACTACCGCAAGCTCTTGAAGCAGCGGCAAGCGCTGCCTGTCTTTGCGCGGCGCGACGAGATAGTCGCCGCGGGCGCGAAACACAAAGCGCTGGTCCTCGTGAGCGACGCAGGTTCCGGCAAGACGACGCAGTGTCCGCAGTTCTTTCTGCGCGCGGGCCTCGCGGGCGACAAGGCGATTGCGGTGACGCAGCCGCGGCGCGTGGCGGCGACGAGCGTCGCGCTGCGCGTCGCGGAGGAAATGGACGTCGCGTTGGGCGACGAAGTGGGCTACTCGATTCGGTTCGACCATGCGGCTTCTGCGCGCACGAAGCTGCTATTTCTCACGGACGGTGTGTTGCTGCGCGAGGCGCAGACCGACCCACTGCTCTCTAAGTACGGAGCGATCTTCATCGACGAGGCGCACGAGCGCACCGTGAACTCGGACATTCTGCTCGGGCAGCTCAAGCTGCTGGCGCGCAAGCGCGCGGATTTGAAGATCGTGATCATGAGCGCCACGCTCGACTGCGAGAAGTTCGTGCGCTACTTCGACGCCGCGCGCATCCACATCGCGGGCAGAAACTTTCCGGTCGAGCTGCACTACTTGCCGGCGCCGTGCCGCAACTACTACGAAAGTGCGCTGGACGCGGCCGTGCAAATTCACTTGAACGAGCCGCCGGGCGACGTGCTGGTGTTCTTGACGGGCGAGCGCGAGATCTGCGACATGCGCGACGACCTGCTCGTGCGGCTGAGCGCGGTGGACGAGGTCGAGCACGGGCCCGTACGCGTCGACGTAATCTTTTCCGCGCTGACGCACGCGGAGCAAATGCGCATCTTTCAGCCGGCGCCGGCGCCCGTGGCGCCGAACGGGCGCGCGGGCCGCAAGATTGTGCTGTCCACGAACATCGCGGAGACTTCACTGACGATCGACGGCATCGTGTACGTGATCGACACGGGATACGCGAAGCAGAAGGTGTACCACCCGCGCACGCGCGCGTCCTCGCTCGCTGCGGTTGAGATTTCGAAGTCGAGCGCCGCGCAGCGCGCGGGCCGCGCGGGGCGCACGCAGCCGGGCAAGTGTTTTCGGCTATACACCGAGAGCAGTTTCGAGAACATGGCAGACTCCGTGGTGCCCGAGATCTTGCGCAGCCCGGTCGACCAGCTGGTGATCCAATTGCTCGCGCTGGACATTCCGAACCTGATCCGCTTTCCGTTTCTCGACCCGCCGAGTCCCGAAGCGTTCATGCGCGCGTTCGAGCAGCTGCACTTGCAGCAAGTGATAGACGACGAGTGCAAGCTCACGCCGTTCGGCCGCCGCGTTGCGCAGCTGCCGCTGGACCCGACGCTCGCGGTGATGCTGGAGCGCAGCGCGGAGCTCGGCGTGC